TATAGCAACATCCCCAGCGTGATATTCTCGTAGTGACATTCCTATAGCAACATCCCCAGCATGATATTCTCGTAGTAATATTCCTATAGCAACATTCTCGTAGTGACATTCATATAGCGACATAATGATCAATTACTCTTCAGAGACTGGTGCCGCCACGGTGCGTAGTTCCAGGTAGGACAATAGATCCCCCCTCCCTATCGAAAGTTAGCGACAGCGGTCAGTTCTGACCACGGCGTGAACGACTTTAGTCACGTGATATAGCGGGTTAATTGATGTAAACGTATAATAAAAAGGCACGGTTTCTAACAGAGAGAGAGAGTCGCACCCAGCAGCCTTAGTGAGTATGGTTATCTTAGTATTGTCTTGAATCTCGTATACTAGCTGTGTGCATATGTGTTTTAAACTCTATTGAGATACTGTATTCTATGTGTAAACTCTATTGAGATGTACGCAACGCACGTTACGTATAGTATGTATGTCGAGTTACGTAAACGAACGTGTACGTGCCATTAGACGTAGAGGTTTATAGCATTCTCTGTACTACTCAGTGAGAGACCTAATAGAACGATTTGTTGTTGTACGTTATACTCTATGTTTGTCATACGTTCTTCCACGTCTGTCTATTAATCGTGTTCACCTAAGGGTCTAGTGCCCGTGCCACAAGCAGAACCTGGTACACTATACGGTCATAGCAACATTACACGCGTGGCCACATTATTGTCAACCACCATGATCGCCATAATATGATGTAGCATCAGCAGCAGCGGCGACTTGGCCTGGGGCACCTGAACTGTGACTTGTTACCCTGTGACCTGTGACATGTGATATATGACCTGGGCATATTAACTGTGACGCGTGGCATGGGATGTATGATCCGTGACATGATGTGGCATGTGACTGTGACCTGTGTGGTGTATGTGACCTGCCGCCTGCGTTGGGTCACGCCTCATCTATTACGACGCGTGACTGACAGACAGCACACCGTCAATCAACGGTGAACGCGCTCCGCTGGTTCCTCACAGAAACAGACGATGTGGGGTTTTTTTCTCTGCACGCGCGCGCTCGCGAGTCTTCGACATCGATAACACACGTCTTCAAACTAATCCACGCAAAAACAAACGATATCGCTAGCGTCGTGCTTTTTCTCCACCGCCAGTGCTGCTGCTGCTGCGGCTTGTTTTGACTGGCAGTGCTCGCACATAATCCTTGCTGTGCGGGGCGCGGGTATAGATACATGTAGCACGCCCAGGTTTTTGCACAGCATGGATTAGGGCGGTCGGGGTCAACGGGGGCTTTCGAAGCCCTCCAGCCTATAATATCTCGCCTAGGAGCATGTTCTGTCGCTGGCAAGGCGCTCGCGCTCAGTAGCAGGTAAGACGTTTTTGCAGCACAACAGCGTGGGACGTCGTTGGCTCACATCGTAGAGACTATGTATCCGCACGGACTTTGTGCACACACGCACTACAGCTGCACGCACGCACCGCGGTATGCACGCACGCATGCCATGCACGCACGCACTCCATGCACGCAAACGCGACATGCAGTACACGCGGCAGCCGCACGCACGCACGGCAGCCGCACACGCGAAATGCACGCACGCACAACATGCACGCACGGACGACAACCACGCACGCACGGCGAATTTATTCGCATTCATTTTCGAATTCCATCCCATTAGTCGCGCATAAATAGTCGAATCCCGTTCCATTAATTAGATATCGCATGTACGCTCGCGCGCGCACGCGATTCTCCAAGCCGGCCCGGTTCGCTCGCAGAGCTCGCATGGTCGTCATCACTGAGCTGATCGCGCTAAAACGCTGACGTGGGGGATTATGTTTGCACAGGCAGCGCGCGAAAATGCCTCGTTCCCCGCGTCATGAAAAGATCGCGTACGATCGAGCGACGAGCTCAAACAGACGCGAGACGTTGGCTGCATATCGGTGTGCGTAACGCACACGCGTTCTCTTTCTTTGCGTGTAACAATCTATCCGACGCTTCACGTCGTGTATATAGGCGCTAGGTACTCGGCTCACACGCAGGCACACTAGACAAACGCACACGCGCACGGACGCGCGCACACACACACACACACACGTGCACTCACAACCCACATGCACGCACACACATTCACACACGCACACACACGCACGATGACACGCACGCACACACGCACGCACGCACGCACACACATACACAAATGCATACACATGCACACGCGCGCGCGCAACGCACAAACACACAACACACAACACACACACACACACACACACGACCACGCACAGCACACACGCAGCACACACACACAACACACACACACACGCGCGGGCGACGCGCAGCAACACAGCACCACGCACAACGCACACACACGCGACACACACAGCATATACAAAACGCTACGCCTACGCCAGCAGGCGTGTCTCCTTACTTCCAGGCCGCGCCCAGCAAGGGAGACAAAAGCCGCGGTTAGTATAGGCGAGGCGGTGATAGAAGAGGGCAGGGTGAAGTGAAGCAGCCCGTCGCTCGTCGGTCCAGCATCCAAGCGCAAGTATAGGCGGACAACTAAGAAAAGGCGTGCGCTCCGGCGCTCAGCGAGCGACCCAGCGCCGAGCGCCTGCTGCGATTACACATACCGCGCGATAATCGGATCAGCGTGAAAGAGCGGTTTATTCAAAGCGCGCGCTACTGACGCTATGAGAGACGTTGCGTTACATTGCGTCGTTGGCGTGCCGTGCATATAAGCGTACGTTCTTAGATGCGTGTGTGCGTTGCGATGACATCATAAGCGTACGTTGTTTGTGCAGCATATAAGCGTACGTTCGTTACATGCGTGTGTGCGCTGCGCTGATTATAAAGAAACGTACAGTTAGTTAACCATGGCGTGTCAAATGATACCAGTTCCACCGGCACACACCCACCCCACCCTCCCCTCCACTACAACACGGGCCGCATTCCCCCCGAGAAACAATATCCCTTCCCTTGGTGCGAGCAATTAGCGTATAACGTTCGTTACATGCGTGTGTTGCGTCGCGGAGCATATAAGGTATACGTTCTTTTTCGTGCAAGCACTATTAAGCGTACGTTCGTTACATGCGTAGTGTGCGTGCGTGGGCATATAAGTCGTACGTTCGTTCGCTGCGCGTGTGTGCCGTGCGTGCATATAAGCG